TTCCCAGGAGGGAGGCACAGTGGCTGCTGGAGTGTTGTGGGCTGTTCGAGGGGTTGTTGAGTCAATAGAAGGAGGATAAGGGGGCACTGGGAGTGGGCTGGTGCCAGGGGCAGGAGGGGAGATCCTGTTGGTGTTGGAGTGTTGTTGTAGGAGTTGGGATGTAGCATGGTTGATGGTGTGTTGTAGGATGGAGGCGTGCCTCTGTTCAAGGGTGAGAACAAAGGCATCCTCCCTGATAGGGTAGGGTGTGATTCGGAAGGGTGTGATCCTCAAGATGGCTGCATGCTCTAGGAGCTGTTGGCTGATCATCTGGGGAGTGGTGTTGTGTAGTCTGCGGAGGATGGTGGATGTGGTTGGTTGGGTGAAGTGTGGGAGTGGGGGAATGTCTGGGAGGACCTTGGGTTTGAGTGAAGTTGTGGGTAGACATGGGGAAGTCATGGTGGGTGGTAGGTGGGTTGGTGGGAGAGTTGTGTATCCTGGAGTGTTGACTGTAGTGTCGTTGCTTCAACGCAAGCAATGGAGGTTGCTTGTGAGGTGGCGAGATGATTGATGTAGAGGGGTTTATTCAAGGGGCAATGCACTGAGGCACTGGTAATCAAGGTTATATCAAGTTGTTGGGTTGTTGTTGCCACTGGATCAAAGGCTGTGGCCAAGTCTGGTGCAGGTATACCACTACCTGCAGGAGAAGATGGTATCAGAGCCAAAGGCTGTTAGGGATTCTTTCAGGGAGAACTGGAGAAGTCACGCTATAGCCAGTAGAGGCAGTGGTGGGGGGATCAAGGGGTGTTGTTGGTTGATGGGGCTGTGTTACTGTATGACACTGTGTTGTCTCAAAGGCTGGTACTCAATCTGTTGCAAGGGCCACCTTGAAACAGAGAGTCAAGCCAAGATCATGTGGAGAGGGTACTCAATTCAGCTCGAATACACAAAATCACTGGAGAGTCACTCAACAATCAATGAGAGAGAGAAAGAGTCAGTTATGTATTAATATCTATGCCACACCACGCTGCAGTTCTGTCTGGGGCTCAATCCTTTGGAGTACCACACTCAGTAGGAGAGTCAGGTGCAGTAGCAGAGAGGTGGCTGTGTCAATGAAGTGTTGCACAATCTAGCCAAACACGCTAGAGGGGCAGCTTTTGTAGTTGTTCTTGTGGGGGTGGGATCCTTTGGAGAGGAGCTGGATATCCCAGGGAGGGGCTGTTGAACGATGAGAGTGCAGCCAAGCCTGGTGATAAAGTCTGAGGAGGACGACTGACTGCAGAGGGCTATGTGCAGCCGGTGTACTCTTGAACTCAAGTCCTTACAGGAACTCTGTTGTTGTTTGTTGTTCCTCTTGGGGAGGAGTTAGATATCAATGGAGGGTTGTAACAGTGGGTGTCGATCAGTCAATCAGTCTGTATAGGGATAGGACTGGTTGGATCAGTAGGATCAGGTCCAATGAGGACGTCGGGAGAAACCCAGAGTGGCCGGTGAGAAAGTAAGAAATACAGCTGTGTTTCTGTTCTTGGTGGTCACTGCAGGTATCTTGTGAAGTCCTTCTTGATAATAGTAGTTCGATCCGTACGGAGGGAGAGGTACGGAGAAGAGGTACGGTCGCGGGAAGTCGATTCACGGAGTAGCGAGTCTTGGATTCGGTTCGATTCGAAGATCGATTCGATTTAGAGGATTCGATTCGAATCAGCGTCACCGGTTGCCTTAGGGGTAAGATTAACGGAGGAGCGAGTCTTGGATTCGATTCGATTCGAAAACCAATTCGATTCGCGAGTCGATTCAGAGGATTCGATTCGAAACCACGTCACCGGTTGCCTTAGAGGTAAGGTTAACCGAGCCTGTTGTTGTTGAGGAAGGAGAAGATCGATCGTTCGAAAACGGGGCGACAATGGGATTTTGTCGGCCGTCAGGAGCGGAGTGCAGAAAACAACAAATATGTATGGGAATTGTTTTCTGTACTGTGCTGGGGAAGGCCGGAGACTTCTTCTTGTGTTCAATTTCTTCCAACTTGGCCGTCGGCGGTCGAGAAGAGAAAACCTGCCCTATCTCGTAGGATTTCAATTGGGATGGCTTTCTAATCTGAACCGGAGAACGCCGCATTAATAGTTGCTTGATAGAGGAGGTGCGCTTGATAGGAGATAGGAGGTATCGATCCTTTTCGGCTTGAATAGGTTGTAAAGAGAGGAAAAGGGGAGTGTGTTTCCTGTGATGACGTTGAGCGGATTCCTATAGTAAAACAGTACTCTTCAATAAGATAACAGAAAACAGACTTCCTGCGGTCCTTTCGCTTCGTTTCAATGCTTCTAATGGTGCTAATAGGTAGTGTAATGGTATAGGTATGACCGATTGGTTGTGTTTGTTGCTATCGGCGTGGTTCTTGTAGTGACAGATTCAGAGGGGAAGCTCCTCAATTCGATTCGGCTTCCCGTGAAAAAGTAGCATCGACTTTCACCAGTGCTTGATGGATGCGACAAAGGAAGGGGTTATCCCGGACAGTCGAGCTGGTGAATCCTTGGGACATGTCATCTTCGACAAGTTCTGCAAGTGGGTGACATTCAAGGATTTCACAGAACTGATTATAGCATAATAGCAGGGTCATAACCAATAGTTCTCGGACTTGGGAGCTCCAGAAATTCTTCACATCGTCTTCAAACAGCACATTGGTGAATTTTTTCAGTATATCGACGTCTGTTTCAATATCATCAAAGGTTGGAGATTGACCACCGAAAATCGTGTCACCGTGGTACTTGGCTGTCCAGTTGGCAAGGGCTTTACCGGCCTGGTGTGACATCTTGAGGGACCCGCTGATGTAGTCGAACACCGAATGGAGGTCACCGACCGACCAACCGGTTCGAAATATTCCTGCCATACCGTTCAAGGCAAGACATTCTGCCATTTCCTGGTTGGATCCTTTCCGGTTGGAATGGGAAGACAATGCTTCATTGATCTCATCGGCTAACACCTCGAAGGTGCTGCATACTTGATCGAATAATTTAGTGAATGCTTTGGAGACACCGCTATCGGATTTGCCTGCTGTCGTCTTCAGTGCGGCTTTGGAGAAGAGTGGAAAGGTGTATTCATTGTTGCAACCATTCAATACAATCAGATGAAGAAGAGAGAAGTAGAAGTAAGTCTTCGAGGAGGCCGTCTCTGTGAGGGTAGATAGGAAGGGTTTGTGGTTCGTTGTCTTTTTGACGTTGACAGTAGGCTGCAATGACTGGATAATGGTAGACCTGTTCATTTACCTCGATGACAGTCATATCTCTTGCTTTTATTAGGGATACTTCACTACCGCATCCACAGCAGTGACAACTGGCGTTTAAGAGATGCCAGAACTCGGCGTATTGCGGTGTTTTCAACCAGATGCATGCGGTTGCCAATGCTTCTCGGTCTCGTCGTGTGCTGGTCGCTTTCTCTTCTGTTGTTCGTTTGCCAGCGGCTCGGTTGGATTCACGGTAAAATCCTCTTAGCTTCTGCAACAACTGCTTCCAATGGGTTTGTTGAAAGATGGGGATTGGGGTCTCAGTTCTGAACTTGTCGACGAAGTAAGTTTTGATTCTGGAACAATATTGCTTGGAACTGCTTGCTGTGAGCTTCGTTTTATCCCCCATGAAATAGATGAAATTCCCGAACAGTTTGTCCCAGAATACAGCGGTGGCTTTGTTGGAGGTCTGGCGGGGAATGCTATGGTAGGGTATGCTGGTGCCTTCTATCACATCAATTTTAATTTTGTTGACAGTATCCTTGAAGAAAACGGTTGAAATAGTTAAAGGCTTTCTTCTGTCTCGAGGCAGATGAAGTAAAGAGACAGGTCAGGGCATGGACAGTGAAGGTTGTTGCGGCCTCATCGTCGTCTTCATCCGCCATGTTTAGGAAGGTGAATTATGAGAGAGAAGATAGATGGCGTGAGGTTTTTCAATGGTATGAACTTCCATTCTTGCTTGGTTGTGAGTTCGCGCTATGAATCGCCGGGCGTTTAAAGCGTTGAATATGCTCGTTTTGTGAAGAGGCACGCGCTCGGTTTTTATGGTCTGGTCGGTCTGTCAGGACGAGTCCGGGTCTAGCAAAAAAAAAGGTAAAGTACGGTGCAGGTACATAGAGAGCTACCGTACATAGTTGTGCCCTTTTCGTTGCTTTGGTTTCAAATGTTGAATAAGAGTCCAAAGATATAAGATATATTGTACTACTGAATACCTGTACAATAGAAATCTCAGTCGATAAACCGAACTTAAGAACGTTACGGCTGTTTTAAATACTGTACAGCTTTACCCGAAGTATTTATCAGTTTTTATTCCTGCTGTGTTCTCTGTGCCCATATGCATATTATTGATAATAGTATGCCTTTGTTCGGGCTGTCCTCCCAGCTCCCAGCTGGTGACCGGTGGCTACGGCAGCTATCTGGATTTTGCAGAAACAACCAAGCATGCAAGTTCGAAGCTACCGGTACCCAGAGACCACAGACAGCCAAGACCACAGATACCCAGGCTTAGAGGAAGCTTGCGTAGACAGCAGCCAGGGAAACTGGGCGGGAGCTCCTGAGGGAGAAGTCTAGCGGTGCTGACCAATCGATGTATTTGAAGTTTGGCTTGCCGCTCTTGGGCTCGTTTTTCTTGCTTGTAGTAAGACTTAGAATTTGCTTCCAGTGGAGTGCAGTTCCAAGTTTCAAGGCCAATTGGGTCGGAACCGTCCACCAGGACACCACTAGTCCAATGCAGCCATACAGAACATCTGGCTAGCCGTCCGCCCGGTACCTGGTCGCTACCAAACCACACATTTCATGCATCACAGGTTGGATGGTTTCGCCACAGAGGGGCGCGGAATGATGAATCAGACGTTGTAGCCGACACTCAATGCCCATTGCAGACCTTGCTCATAATCAGCCTCGCAGCCAATGAAGGTGGCATCATGATCAGCCTCACAGCCAATGAAGATAGCACCAGGGTTGCAGGACGGTGCGGATAGCTTGGTTGCTCTTTGTGAATCAATCGAAAGCCAACGAAAACCGAGCTATTTAGGTTAAGGTTAGGGTTAGCGGTGGCAAATCAGCCGAGGCCATCACCCATCACCCGCCTCGGCACCAGGCACCAAAACCAAAATGATCTGCTGTCGATGGCAAAAGTTTCGAGCATAGCCAGAAGCACAATCATATCAGTTGTCAACAGGATCGGGGGGCCTAGAGTATTGGATTATTCGCCATCCCAGCATCCCAGTCGGCAGAGGTACCGGTATCGATTGTCAGCATGGTTTGGCACTTCTACAAGCAAGCGCTAACGCGACATCCGCTGTTGGTTAAGGCGACGACAGCTGCCACACTCATGTCCATTTCGGATGTTCTTGTTCAGGCTTATGAACAACAATCAGGAGATACTTCGTTGTCTACTTGCAACAGAGAAAGCGTTCCCACGACATCAAGCAATGGACTGCTTCTGATTCTGATTCTTCAAGCCAACAATTGGCTACGTACCCTGCATGTGGGCGTGACAGGCCTCATTTTTTCTGGACCCATTACCCACGCGTGGTACGGCATCTTGGAAAGACTTGTAGAACGACTCCCCTTGAAGTCGTCGGTTTCCACCTTGGCCACCAAACTTCTTTTGGATGCCATTCTCTTCTCGCCTATTGCCGTTGCGGGATACTTTATCTGGAGATCGGTGCTGGAGGGATCCCATGTAGGACAAAAGCTCCAGCGCAAGTGGTTCTCGTCACTCCAAGCATCGTGGTCGTTTTGGCCGTTGGCCAATACCTTGAACTTCGCCTTTGTTCCTTTGCCATACAGAGTCCTATATAACAATGCATTGAGTCTACTGTGGAATGCCTATCTTTCCAATGCAAACCAGGGCTATGCGGGTGTCACAAGAGAACAGCAAGCGGTCAAGAAAACAAGACCCATGGCGATCGGGAAAGATACCGGTACCAGATACCGGTACCAGCCCACTAGGAGGGCTTGGGTGGCCTCGTGGAAGGGTTGCCCTTCATCATGATGAGGTTTCTCAGTAACTCACGCTAGACTGGTGGAAAGCTGTGGGATTTGTCGCTGCTTCCATCTTCTACGATGCCGAGTCTATGCTGATAGGTGCAGGCCGGGGCTGAAACTGGGGTTGGGAAAAGGCGGCCTCCAGAAGTGGTAGACGACAACGTTAAAACTCCCTTGCAGTGTCTGATCTGCTGGTCTGCTGCGCCAATGAGGGGTCAGATCCTCACGACAATCTCCAAGGGCATCGGGTGTGTAGTTCCTAATAAGTTGCTCCTTCTTGTGTTTGCCTGGCTGTGGTTCATGTCATCGTCTGCATGTACGGTACCCGCAGCAACAACTATTAAAATCGGATTGAATAGTCGGTATTATTATTCACTGGCAACTTGTTTCTGGGGCATGCATACGGAATACCGATAGTCTCCCGTTCTGGGTACTCTTTTAATTAAAACAGGAGCCGCACTGCGATATCTTAAAAGTGCTTCATGCGTTCTGTTCGCTGTGGATTTATTTTTCTTGCTGCTCTTTTTCGCACCAAATCTTGACCTGATCAATATGCGAGTTGAGGCCAAACCGAAACAAAACTTGCATAATTGGATTCAATAGCTTGGGCATGAGTTGATGAGCTCGAGCATGCATGGCTATTTCCAAAATCACTTCCTGGTCGCCACTACTGTTGTTGCGAACGACATCAAACGTCGTATCCCAGATGGTACCGTGAGTATCCGCAACCATTCGAGCATGTGGGCTTTTGTCATTGTTGTCGTATTCTGTGACTTGCAAATTGGTCACCAACACATCGCTGCTACCCATTTTGCGGGTTTCACTAAAGCGCATATTCAAGTGCATGGGTGGGTCATCGACAAAGTCGTACTTGAGAATATCGGAACTAATCTTTGGCATGACATCGAAGTCGCTGACAGCCTGAAAGGCTCGTTTGGCAGTGCATGACATGGAGCGACGAACTGTTATCTTGACACCATTAGAGACAGCATCTTGGTAGAAGTACGCCAAGATGGCTCCAACGAATGCCAGGGTTCCAAAGACTGGGCTCAATTTCTTGTCGCTCAACGTCGTAACCATATTCGACAATCCTGATTTATCCTGGTGATAATTATTATGCTGGGATCCTCCTTTTTCCCCTGGGTTCGGTGTTGTGGATGGTATTCTACAGTACAACAGGCAGCGATGCAATCTCCGCAAAAAGATATGGAGAACCCAACATCTTTGACATAGATTTCATGCCACTACGGATTGAAATGTATTTTAGTCATGAATGATTCAATCATTTTGTTATTCAGTCACTTTCATGACGGCAAGCAGCACAAAAAGCATGATTGAAGATCACTTCTTGGACACTTCTTTCACCGGTATTGATCACAGTCCCTTTAATTACAGCTTCCATTTCTTGCCCCAAAGCAGGAGACACCAAGATCATTGGCTACAAGTGTCAGTTAAATAAGATTGGAAAAGGGTCATTTGAAGCACACCCCATTACATGTATTCTTCCAGTACAGATCCCGCAGCTTACCACGGTCCATTGAATTATCAACAGTTACGATACATGTACCGATACAGGAGAATCTTGATACTTAGATCCACAGTTGACGGGTCATTCGGTAATCTGGCAGTTCCCTCGTTGTAGAGGAACTTTTGGTTGAAGTACGACAAGATCTGAATGAAACTCTGATCAAAAAGAAAAAACGGTCACTCGGACCTCTTTCATGTTGTCAGATGCCGAGATAGCAACCGAAGTGGGAAGTGGGAAATGGGGGCAGCCCGTGATATCTTTCCAGTCTGCTCTCAGGTCCCACGTATTGCGGTAGCTGGCTCATGCTCGGACATCGAGCTTTCAAGTTTCAAGGAAAGCTTGCCTCTCATAAAAAGTGGTACCACAAAACAAAAAACCAACATTCGTACAACCTGAAAAACACCAAAAGAGCCACCATGAATCCTTCTACTACCTGCATTACTGATGCCAAGATCCGCCGCGAAAGCTGGGGTTGCTTGGATGAATCTCGAATGTCAGAGCCCTCTGTCATGGCCAATGACAGCTACGCCCAAGAACATCGTCGCAGCCGCGGTTCTCTCGATCGCAGTGGAGGCAGCAGTTGCAGCAGCGACGATGATAGCCGACCGACCCATGACGTTCACGATCGTCGCAGCAGTTGGGGAGACTTGGATTCTCTCCTTTCCGACTTCCATGCCACCATGATGCCCGCCAGTTCCAAGCCCAACTTGGATTCCATCACGGAAGCCACGGCTGCCGAAGAAGAGGCGAAGGCCAAGCGCCGTGCCAACCGAAGGAGAAAGAAGGAAGCCGATGGCAGTCTCCGAAGCAGCACCGGCAGCACTAGTTCCACCAAGTCCTCGGGAGGTTCTCGTCGCGATGAACTGAGGCGCAAGATCAGCCGAAAGCGCCTCAGCGCGAGCAAGCTTGATTGTTAGATCAGCCACTGCTGCCGAACCTCAGTCGAAGCTCAGTTTTAAAGTCCAAGCCACAGAGCAAGCCACAGCCACGGACACACTTTTACATCACTTTTCATATTGCATTCTCACGGGATAGTCTCGACCTAATAATTGTACTAGCTACACAAAGACAGATAACAAGCAGACTCTACTAATAGTATGATAGGCATTGTCCCCTTGGATCGTTGTGATGCCGGTAGCACGAGTTCCTGCCTGACCAGGGAGCCTTCTCTCTCGGTGGACGGGGTTCTCTTCTTTCGGTTATGCCTGTAGCAGCCTTCTCATTGATTGGGTTCCTTGGAAAAATAGCACCGCCTTGGATTGGTACGGGTACTGACGATGGCCGTGTTGTCGCCCCCCCAACGATAAGTTCCCCAAGCACACTCTGCCTGATACGCTGGTAGATGATGAAGTGGGGAAATGTTGCACTTTGCATCCCACTGGCGGGAAGCGCTCTGGAAAGAAGATCATCATTCGGACCATCGCCAACATCGAGGATAGAGAAGCCAACTTACCGGTAGTTTCTTGAAACAAAGGAGAGGTTTTAAGAATACCGGTAGCCTCAACACTATTGCATCGTGATTGAATGGATAGCCTCAACACTATTGCATCGTGATTGAATGGACCAAGGTTGATGATGTCAGGCCATGTCAAGGCGAAAAACGTTGCCCAAAAGAATTTGCTTCCAGGAAAAGATCTGCAATCTGCAATGACATTGGCCAAACTCAACAAGAGTGTTTCCTGACACCTGAGAATAGAATCCTTTTCCAAGAGAATCGAATCAATTAGCTTCTTCTGCAAAAGCTTCAGGACGAAGTTGACAGTTGACAACTTCAGAGTCTTGGTTTCAGATTCATTCATATACCAAGCGGTTCTTTGTGCTGGCCATTATTTATTTTTCCTCTTCTTGCTAGCTAGCACCATTTTCTTTGCTTGGTTTTCCAACAACAACAAAATTGGCAACCAACCATGATGTTCCTTTCCTTACGGCGAGCCACGGTTTTCCATTCCAAAGCACGAACTAGCCACGGCAGAATCTCGTATCGATCCATCAGCAAACTTGTGAATTCGGCGCAAGAAGCCTTGGCAGATTTGGATCTTCACGGAGCTACCGTGGCCGTGGGGGGATTTGGATTGGGTGGAAACCCCGAGACTTTATTGCAAGAACTCTCTCAATTTCCTCAAGCTTCCAATCTGACAGTGGCATCGTTGACGGGTGGTGTTGATGGCAAGGGCATTGGGCTTTTGCTCGAATCCAACAAGGTGAAACGACTCATCTCCAGTTATGTCGGAGAAAACAAGTTTCTAGAACAATCTTTCTTTGGTGGAGACCTTGAAGTGGAATTGACTCCCCAAGGAACCATTGCCGCCAGATTGCATGCTGCTGGAGCAGGTATGCCAGCCTTTTATACACCCACAGGAGCTGGAACCATTTATGCTTTGGGAGGAATCCCCATCAAATACAAAAAGGAAAGTCCCAATCACGAAGTCGATATTGCCTCGCCACCCAGAGAAACTCGAGTCTTTGACGGTGTGGAATATGTTTTGGAAACTGCTTTGAAGACTGATCTTGCATTGGTGAAGGCATACAAGGCCGATACCGAAGGAAACTTGGTCTTTCGAGGAACATCTCGAAATGCAAATCCAGAATGTGCCATGTCAGGAAAAATGTGCGTCGTGGAAGCCGAACACATTGTGCAACCAGGCGAACTTCATCCGGATGAAATCAATCTACCTGGCGTATATGTCAATCGCGTCATTGCTGCTTCTAAGAATGACAAACCCATTGAACGATTGAGGTTGCAAGACACCAGCAACAAAAAAGGTGGAGTGGTCAAGGGAGGACGAGGGAGGATCATGCGTCGTGCTGCCAAAGAGTTCAAAAATGGAATGTATTGCAATTTGGGAATTGGTAAGAAAGAATTGAATTGAATCAGTGCATAATGGTTTTGCCTCCGTCTGAAAGCTTCTCTACTGTGGCCATCTTCCAATTTTGCTCACATTGCTGCATCGCCTGCCATCACAATAAATAAAATGCAAAAGGTCTCCCGACGCTTTGCTCTAACTACATCCCAGATGGGGTTACCATCAGTCTGCAAGCGGAAAATGGATTGATGGGGATTGGGCCTTATCCTGCTACAGAGGAAGAGGCTGATGCAGACTACATCAATGCTGGGAAAGAAACCATCACGGCACGACCTGGAGCGAGCACCTTCAGCAGCTTTTGCAGTTTCAATATGATTCGTGGAGGGCACATTGATTTGACCATCTTGGGAGGACTCCAATGTAGTGCTGCTGGAGACTTGGCATCGTGGATTGTACCTGGTAAAATCCTCAAGGGAATGGGAGGGTAAGTTGTTGGGTGTCCCAGTGAATACTTTCTTAGTGCCTCGGTGCCACATTCATCTCACCATCTTTTTCTTCTTCTTGGTCAAGTGCCATGGATCTTGTGGGCGCCCCTAATTCCAAAGTTGTCGTCACCATGGACCACACAGCCAAGGATGGCAGCCCCAAAATCATGGAAGAATGCTCCTTGCCCCTGACTGGGCGACAGGTGGTTGATAGAATCATCACGGATATGGGGGTCTTTGATTGCAACAAGGAGCCAGGTGGTGGATTGACCCTCGTAGAAATTGCACCTGGTATTTCCGTGGACGATGTACGAAAAGCAACAGGCTGCGATTTCAAGGTTGTACCAGAGCCAGTCCCATTGATGGATGATATGGTCGATGAGGAGTGAAAGCCGTCCGCACTGAATGGCAAAAGAGAATTATACGATAAAAACATGCGTCCGCTGCGAGATCGAATTTCGATGACAGAGTGACTCAGTCGAACATGCCGAGACTAGCTAAGTCAGTTGCCCTTCCCTTTATAATACATTTTATAGCAATAGCTATAGCTAAAGTCAAGCCCTCTACCCAGATAGTTGTTGATTCCTGACCGTTGTTGTTTGGCCCCGAGATGACATCATCGTCAAGCAGATCAAATGTAACCAGATTGTCCGAAGAACGCACAACGCAATCACGCAGGGCTTTCCTTGGCGTACTTGTCCAGTTCTTCATCGTCGTATTGTTCTTCCTTGGCGTACTTGTCGACTGACACGGAGTCTTCGCTGATATCGACCACGCTCGAAAAGGAACGAGACAACGAGAAAAACGGTGGCGATTCGCCAGCATCCCATAACTTGGCACGGCAAAAGTCGTGCCCCTTGCCAATGGCATCCCACGGGAACATGTTTCCCAGCGAAGGCCGCGACCGCGAACTGCGGCTCGATTCGTCATCGAAAGGTCGTAGCGGGTGAGTTAGCGATGATGTCGAGCCACTATCGTCGTCGACGACTGGATAAAGAGGGGATGGATGCAATGGCCGGCTCGGAAATTCTTGAAGACTCGAAAGCGCGGGTGGCCTTGGTGGTCGCATCTCCATGAGCACTTGCCCGTCTATTGAATCATGGGTTCTTGAATGCTCTATTGTGGTATTTGGCTGATCGTTTTCTTCCTCCACAACGACAACTTCTTCCTCCGAATTGCAACTGTTGTCGTCTTTATTAGTGTTTGTCACGTCTTCCGAGTCACTATTCTCACGCACGAACGTTTTGGCCTCTTGGAGTGCCAGGTCGGGACAGCATGCATCTTCCAACTCAGGAACAATTTTTGCGCGCTCTTTCCACCGTTTTCGTCGATAGCAGTAAACCAGAACCAACCCGATGGCAACTGTGTTGGCGAGAAAGATCAAAGAAATGACATACGGCATTAGCATCTTCCGATCGGACACATCACCATTAGCAGATTCGGTGGGATCAGACTCGGAGAAAAGTGCGGCTGATGGTGCAAGAGATGGAGAGATTCCAGGCGCCTGTGTCCTGAGGTGTTGGCTTGGGTGGCTAGGCATGAAGAACTCTTCCATATATGTGAATGTTGGGGCTTGGGTTTCCTGGATTTCTTGGGGTGTCTGTGTCGTTTCATCATCTACAGGGAATTCTGTTGTCTGCACGTGCACCGGAGACTGTGTTGGCTCCGTTTCCCCGGGCAACTGCGATCCCTGATGTTCGTTCCACGAGATGTCATCCGTTCCGGGCACTATGGGAAGTTCTGTAGGCTCTTCCTGAGGTTCCGGAGGTATCAATTCGATCGCGCCGCTCTCTGCTTCGTGGAAATGTTGCTCGGGATCTTTCCTTGGTGGGAGCGATGATCTATTTGCTGGAATTGTCAGGTTGAATTCGGCTGGTGATTCCTCCTCCGCATTGGGGATGGGTTGGATTGAATGGTGGGTAGAATTATTGGTAGTATTGTGCTCGGCCACAGGCATTTTGGTTGGTGGCTCTGGAATCGGCATTTGTGTACTGCCGAGAAATGCACTGGTAATCAACTTTTCCATTGATTGGAACATTGCTGTTGCATTCAGAGGCTTTGGAGGCACCGTCTCATTCATTAGTGGAAGCATTGTTGTCCTGTTGCTTGTATTTGCGACAGTCTCTGCTGTGCTATTGGTGGAATTCCAGGCAACGCCATCGTCAGTTTGATTCCCTTGAGTCGGAGCCATGGATGGAGGAGCAGCGAACGCGTGGAATGCAGGCGCTTGAGTCGAGGGAGCAGTGGCTTCCGAGCTTCCGAAGGGTGTTGGTACACTCGTTGCAAGCGTTGCGTTCAAACGGGACGCAGCACTTGGTTCCGAGCTTGTAGTTGCTGTCATCGCGCTGCCTCGGATTGCCTGATAAGCAGGTGGTCGTGTCACCGTCACCGCAACACCAGTACTCTGCACAGTAGGAGCCACCGTCTTCTTGATACTAATGGTGACGGGTGGCACGGTTTTATGCTCCACGACGAGCGGGATCAGACTTTTTTCTGGTGGTGGCGCGAAGTGATCAGAAATCGTGGTTGTCGACGCTGAAGAAACTTGAGGCTCCCGATCCCTGATAACTGTGAATGTTCCTGTTCCTGTTCCTGCTCCGTCTTCCTCAGCAGCAGAAACGTCTTCAATTGTTGGGACGTTTCCTGATCCCTCCCCGTCAGATTCAGAAGCATTGTCAGCTGGAGGGGAAAGCATGATGTCTGCTGGAGTATTGTCAGTTTCATGTTCAAAGTAGTAAGGATTGGTCGACACCGAGAATCCTTCCCGCGACTTCGTGTTTCCAACATCCATCATCATTTCATAGAATGGTAGGTGGTGGCCCCGCTTCCGAGCCAGAGATAGGACAAAGACATCCGTGGTCGCAGGGGACTCCTTGTTCCGCATGAGAGAACCGTTTGTGTTGCCGAGAACTATTGCATCTCCATTGGTATTTGTCACCAAACTATCCCCTTGACCCAGACTGTCGTCATACATCGTACCCAGCTGTTTGGCGAAGTTTAGCTTTCCCTCACTTGTTTCATATTGGGCAATGAAGATATCGTCTCCCCCATAACTCTGAGCCTCTACGTGGGCACCATTCGTATCATGTACATCCATGATCGCCCCTTGTTTCACAGTACCTGCCATATAGACATCGTCTCCATCGCTGGTGACTGCGCATGCCATTCCATGAACCTGAGGTGGTTGCGATGACTGACTTGCATCGTCGTATTTAGCATCTACATAGGATACCCACATGATCTCCATGGTGGAAGCATCCATCTTGAGAATAAAGGCACGGTACGCACCCTTCTGAAAGCTTTCTGTGTCCGAGTATCCAGTCTGCTGCGAACCATAATCTTCAGTCATTCCGAACCAGTGAATCTGAGAGTCCGTTATACCCACAGCATAAATGAGTAAGGGGTTGCTTTCACTCTTGCAAATGCCCAAGATACGATCGTCCCCGTTTGGAATCGACCGAACTCGGTGAGAGCTGAGTTGTTGACCAGTTGAAGGATGCAAAAACAAGAGAAAACCGTCCCAATCCTCTCCGAGATCATCATTCACTCGCTTGCGTCTTGAAGGCCTATGTGTAGATCCTGATACTACCAGAAGATCGGGCGTAGAGTAGAGCAGACCGGCAACCTGCAGAGACCTTGGAGAATGTAATCCAAACTCCCGGCTCCAGTTTGGTTTCAAAGTTTTCTGTATATTGACATTGAACCTATCAAAGTCGCTTTCTCTTCCATGGTTGTTTTCTCGTATCAAAGATTGGACGACTATGGTAAAGTTAGACCCATACTCTGGAGGCAGATACCCGGCCGTGGACATGTCCAGGTGGAGGGCTTGGGTTTGACCCTTGAGCTGTTCAAACTTTGGATTTGTTCTTCCATCCAGTGACTTGATAGAGGCGACAAAGAGATGCTTCGCATCTGGATCACCTTGAACAGCGATTGGATATTGGACCTCATCGTCTGCCATCAGAGATCCTCCAACGAGGGTGGCGCCTCGTGCAAGCTGCATGATCATTCCTGCTGCACTCGGCGGTGGGCTCACAGCGGAAAGGGGTTGTGTATGAAGCCGACTGGCACTGATTGTTGCGTCACTGGAGTCTTGAGCCTCCAATGGAGCCATGACACTAGCGCTGTGTGTCGAGTGACCCAGGAGGTAGACATCGCCATTGTTTTGGGACACATAGAGGGCTGAACAAGCTTCTGTAACATCTGGCATTCCTATTTGGACTCGACGGATCCACTGAGGAGACATAAATACTTGCTGAGGTAGTTGGAGGACACCAAAGAAACAATCTGACTTGATTGCCGCTTCGTCTACTTGGCTGAGCCCTGTCTTGAAATACCCTGAGTAAGTACCGCCCGTGATATAAAGGCGATGAGTCCTGGCATCGTAAGACATGCTTGATCCATACGAGTCAGCTGCATCATCGTTCAACTGTAATCCAAATACGACCTCAGCCGCCACTGCGTTTGTCGCTTGTTCTAGAACACATAGCAGCACGAGTCCCAGAACGAACAAGGAGCTGGCAGCACCTCGATCGTCCTGTCCCCACAGGACCATCATGGGGGCCTAGCAACCTTGGATGGTGGAACAGAGCCGAGAAGCCTTGATGATGTTATGCAAAAGATGATTGTTTCCTCCGTGTTGCTCACTGTTGGTTCCTAATTGCTGGACTTTTGTCATGGAGCACCTCTGCCTTCAAAGGGATGCTAAACATTGCTTTTGTCTGGGCTTTGATAGCTGCAACAAGATCGAAATTTTTGTACTCCCGTGAGCAGTCGCAATGGGCAGGCCAGCGACCGAATATTAGAGCTAAGGCTGTAAGAATCCTGCTGAACTGGAAGACCACTCCGGCAGTGTAGCAAGTTCATAAAGTTGAAGATTAATTGGAAAGCCTGTAGGTACCACTACCATGGTACAACGGTACCGGTATGATACCTAGTTCCTGGGGTACCGGTACCTGGTACCGGTACCACCTCTTTCTCCTGGCACTGCCATCTGGGAAAATCAAAGAAAGACCTGCTAGATACAGTACACAGATTCCATAACAGAACTACTAGTACTTACAGGCACAGTAAAGGAATACATACATGTACCAGAACCAGAAGTGAGAGGGATATTGCCAAGGGCATACAGTACTATTAGTACACTCCAACCTCATCAATAAGATAACTCTATTCTTAGTCCAGTACTGGAGGTATCTTAACCGATTCAGTTACAGCAACACTGAGTTATTATCTTACAAGCAGCCCAATCTCAGTATCTTTCATATCTTATAGCCACTACCTGGTAGAAGCTTTTATTACATACCCTACTACTAACCATGCCCTGAGACAGTGAGGAGCCACCACCAAAGCTCAAGAAGGCAAAGGTGCAAAGCTAAAATTGATGAAACCAAAGATTCCGTGGTTGGGAGGCACCCTAAGATGCGGATATGGAGTACTTGGATGTAGATGGTGATGTGGTAGATAGTGGGTACTAGCTGCATTCAATCCCCGCATAGTCTTAGTATTAGCTTAGGATTTGAGACCTCAGTACTCGTAGCTTATCTTACTGGTTTGGGAAATCTGATTGTCCGGGTTATCTAAACATTTCCAAAAAGTTGAGTACTCGGTATCTTAAACCCACTTATCTTAAGTGTGAGTGAGGAGTGTAGTACTAGCTAGGTACTAGCTTGTTGTCACTCCCTGGTGCACAAAAATCCGAAGATTGAATGATGAGTCGAATTACACAAATCGATTCAATCGATTTCATCCGAACGGAGATTGTTATGGAGGCTGGGCGGTTTGTTCAGTTAGTTTTCTTTTGGCAGTTTTCGAGGGAGACCTCCCTGCTTTCACTTCACTCCTCATTTCTTTTGTTTGATTTGCTCCGACTTGTGGGCTTGTGGGCACCATGGCATCGTCGTCGAAGAGCAATGAAGTAGTGGATTTGCGGTCTCCTCCACGTCCAGCAAAAGCGATACGAATTGACGATGATGGAGCAATTTTGCTGGACGACGACCACGAAGATGGTGCTCCAGACCGCAAACGGCCATCCTCCAACTCCAACGAAGACAGCAACAAGCGCAGCAAAGCGACCTCAAATGGAGCGGCGGTCAGAGGATTGACCGGCTCTCGTATTTTGTCGACCTTGTCCAACAACACCGATCGCGTTTCCTCGAACTCGACTACAACAACCACAGCAGCCGTCAAGAACAGCGCTGTCATTGCGCAGAATCCAGCACGTGCCTATCGACCCAATGTTGCCCTGCCAGCAGCTACAGCAAAGAAAACGAGTGACGATGACGACGAGGAAATCTGCCTTGTGGGAACCAAAGGCACCAACGTCCTCACTGATTTCCCCCACTCGAGAGAGCACTGCGTTCTTCAACCAATGGGCAGTGGCGACCACGAGAAGCACTGTCCCAAGTGCTACTGCTACTGTTGCGATGCTCCAGTCGTCCAGTGTAGGCTGTGGAGCTCTCACTGTCACGCCACACACAAAGGTGTGACCTGGCAGCGCGAACGCGAACGAGTCAGACTTGCCGGAGGACCCGACAAGGTTCAGCCAGAAACAAGACAGGCGCCTCAACAGGCCGTCGCAAGGGCCCCAGTGCCGGCTGCAGTCGCGAGAGTGCCAACAACGACGGGAACAACAACATCAACAACAAATTCTTCCTTCTTTTCCGACCAAAATCTGCAGCTCTACAGCAACCGGAACGATCCATCGGAGTTCTCGGTGCAGGAGTTGCTCAAGCAAGTTGCCAGCGTTTATCCTCGTGAGGTCTCGACTCCAATGACCATCCAGACTCCTTTGAAACACTACCAGCGGCAAAGTCTGGCCATGATGTTGGACGTGGAAAATTCCACCGACGCGGCTCTTGCAGGATCGGACGAGACCGGTATCGGTCGCCACCGGTATCATACACGCGGTGGCTGGTTGGCATCTGAAGTAGGAATGGGAAAGACGTTGATGATCATTGCCTTGGTTGCGTCGGACCGCGGTCGAATTTTGGCCCCGTTGGAACTGAATCGCAACAACATGGCCTTGAGTTCCAGCTGCACCCGAGTGAAGGCTACTTTGATCGTTACCAGTGTATCTCTCCTCGGCCAATGGGAGGACGAAGTTTTGAAGCATGCACCAGGCCTCGTATGCTACCGTTTCCACAACAGCAGTCGGAGCAGCCATGGTTTCGACCTCCCCACGTCCCCAGGACGAGAACTGGTAGCGAGGGCAGACATTATCATCACAGCCTCGACTTCTTCGATCTCTAAGGCTCTCAAGCAGCAATACGAGTTCCAGCGTATTGTAATCGACGAAAGCCATCTCCCTGCTCCGTCGATCTCGTTTCGCCATGTCAAAGGCGTGGTCGCTCAACGACGATGGTGTGTGACGGCAACTCCTTGCGTTTCTTCTCTGAGTGAGCTCGATGCTCAAATTGACTTTATCGGACTCGGCGGAGATTTCAAAGAGCTCAAGCGAATCAAGCTATCCCGAAAACTTTACTTTTTTGCAGCTGTTGACACTTTGAAGAGTGTGATGACCCGACATTTCAAGGAGATGAATATGAACGACGGATCCGAGGCTCTTTCGCTCCCCGGCAGCACCTCCAGAACTGTCATCCTCCAAATGAGCGTCGAGGAAAGGCAGCAATACAACATGCAAAAGGCAGACATAAGCCGCTCCTTCTTGCGGGACCAAACAAAGTTTTCAACTACCACATTCCGTCTTCGAGTCGCCGACGTTCTTCTCAGCCTTCCGGCGAAAACAAAATGCCAAGCTTTGCTCAGTGACATTCAACGTGTTCGCCAACGTGACGCGAACCTGCGGGTCGTCGTCTTCACGCAATACACAGAGTCACACAAAACAATCATCAAAACATTGCGCCGTGGTGGCATTGATACACTCGAATTTTCAGGATCGACAAAAGCTGATCGGCGAGACAAGGCAATCCGAGAATTTCAATCTACTGGACCCGGTGTCAAAGCTTTTGTGATCACAACACGTGCAGGCAGTGTCGGTATGACCCTGACTGCGGCCAAAAGAGTGTACCTGATGGAACCTAGCATCAACCCGGCAACTGAAATCCAAGCAGCGGGCCGAATCAATCGCCTTGGGCAGACATCCAAAGTGACCGTAACAAAGTTTGCGTTTTCAGATTCATTGGAGACTAACATAATCGATCTCCACCAGAAAGTATCGCGAGGGGAAGCATCCTTGTCGGATACACATATTCCAAAGGCCAGCATGCATATTCTGATCTCTGGGCTGTACTAAGGCCAACTGGTAATTAAAGTACAGTGGTACTGGTACCTGCACACATTCTTCTCAGAAAATCAGGAAGGGAAGGACGGTACGAAAAAAGTAACAAAAAACATTACTACAGATCCCAGCACAACTGACCAAAAACCCACGAACCACTTTTTTAACCCTCAGTTTGAGGTTTTTTTCTTGTTCTCGTAGCTTTTATGTACAACAACTACTAGTAAGAACATTGAACAGACCACCCAAAAATCGAGAACTTGCCACATGTACGGTAGCGAAGAGGCACGAATGACAGAGCTTAAAAAAAGCTGTTAGAATCCTCGTAGGAGTTTGTACTGCACCTACACAGAACAAGTTTTTTTTGTTGGGAAACGAGGGTTTTTGGTCAGTTGTTCTGGGATCTGTAGTACACTACGACCTACCATAGTGACCATAGTAAATTGCAGTAGTCTACCCTCTAAAAAACCATACTATGGTTACCAGTACCCATAACCCTAAAATCGTTGTGACGACGGATGAAAAACTAATCAAGATGCCTCGGGTGGCGCCAACCACGGAAATTGAAATGAGGGCTGTCAGTTGCTTGGCCAACTGGCATGGGCTTGCCTTACTAGCAAGACAGTGATAGGGAACCCTAGCAGCACTGCTTCCAGCTAGAGAACCTGACTTCAGCCAGTTAAGATTAGCTAGCTACCAAGCAACTCTCCCAGCTAGTGATGTGGCTCCTTGGCGGTTCTCCCAGCTCCTTTCCCAGCCAATGATACTATAGCCCTAGCAGTTCTCCCAAAACTAGTGCCATCCCCAGTTCCCAGCCAGTGACAGCCCTAGCCGTCCTCTCAGATCTTCTCCAACTTCCATCATAATAGCTACACAGTTCCAGTCAAACTATCATGGCTCTGCTAAACTACCGTACCTGGACCCAGAACCGTACTCTACCAAGCTAGAGCTAATAGTACCCGGAAAAGGTACTTTACCAAGCTAAAGCTACTACCTGAACCCGGAACCGTACCTCACCATGCTAAACTCTCTCAGATCTTCTCCAAGCAACTTTCATCATCATACCCAGTTCCAGTCAAACTATCATGGCTCTGCTAAACTATCGTACCTGGACCCGGAACCGTACCCTACCAAGCTAGAGCTACTAGTACCAAGACCTGGAACCATCTTGTACGAAGCTGGTTAGGGTTAGACCCGTATCTCAATTGCCCTTGTGAAAGCTACCCATTTATGTCTCCGTGGATCCCGCAAAGCCAGACCCTTTGCCCCCCGTAATGGTCCTCAGTTTCTTGCCCCTGATCCCACAGAACCTAGTCCTGAATTTTGACTGTTCTTTGCTTAAGCCTGGCCCCGACTGGCTTCCGTAGATAATTTCCCTACTATAACCCCCCATAATTAATCTTGTACGAAGCTAAAGCTACTATAAATAGTACCTTGACCCGGAACCGTACCTCACCATGCTAAAGCCACTGGTACCGTACACTACTGAAGGCTCAAACCTGAACCCTAAAAATGTTACGATGACAGACGTTAAACTAAAATTATGACCTAGCCAACTTCGTGGTTGGCGAATTATAACATTATCCTACTCTAGCTAGCTAGTAGCGCTACTAGCTAGCTAGCTAGCTAGCTAGCTAGCTAGTAGCCAACTTCGTGGTTGGCGACCTTACACGTGTTCACTACCTACCGTAGCAAATTGAAGAAAAAATCTTTTGTCTATTCCCACACACAGGATACATGAAAAGGCTTCGCTCATTTTTTCTGCTCTTCCATATTCCACCCGTTCAACGTTTATCGCGCATCTATCCATGGCCGGACGTGCTTTGAAATAAGTAAAAGGTCGCTGTGAGGGTGGCATCCTCCTATCAAAGCAAAAGGGAGGTTATCTTTATCCGTTGTCGAATTCTCACCGTTGGCATGGGCTCATTCTTTTTATGGATTCGGTGAAGTCCTCTCATCACAACCAAATACCATAGGATATGAAGACCATGAAGACCTTTGCCACTGCCCTTGTCGTTCTTCTGTTGCTAGATTTGGCATCTGCTCGCTTTGAAGGCACCAAAGATGATTTCTTTGAGATAATCGCGAACGGAGAAGTGCCTAGTGGCATCCTTGACGATGAGGACGAACTCGGTCGAACAACAAACTTCAGAAAGCTACAGGGACAAGCGAGGGAATCAGGTCAACGATGCGGAAGGAACAATCCTTGCTTGGATGGCCTGGAGTGCACATCTACAGCCTTTGGCAGTTATTGTACCTCTACAGCCTGCTTCATGAAAGTTGTGAACAACTTTATCGAAAGGCATCAGCTTCAGGACATGCCTGAGAGGTACATGGAGCAGACTGGATTTATGGGACGAGATGTTACTAATTCAAGTGTGACGGGACAGTCGGGTTGGAGAGCCTTCGCTGCTTCTTCAGAGGCGGTGCTCAACAGAGACTTTCGGGATGCCATTACGGATGCCATGACTGCTAATCCACCGAACATGACAGAGCTGCTTCTTGACTATGTTACTGCTTGCCCAAACGTTGCTTCCATTCAAGGTGTGACCATTATGCTGGGACTTCACTACGAGATTTCCGTGGTGGTTCCAAAGATGTTCAACAATTACTATTTTGCTATTGGAACCGGAGACCTCAACTTGGACATCACGTTTGATAACGCTACCCTGACGGGTGCAGTCAACTACAACGGCACAGGAGGAGTATTTACGGATTTGTGTTTTGGAGTCGGCCCCGATGTCGGTTTCGACGTGGGCATTACAGCTGGCCTTCTTCCCAGGAGCGGTACCATCAATGATCTAACGGACTGTTCTTTTATGTTTGACGCTGACATTGCTGCTGCAACCGGTTTCGGTCTGGCCATCGGAGTGACGTCAAACACTTGTACCGCCAAGGTCAGTTTCTGGCTACCGTACCGGTAGTGGGTCATGGCTGGATAGTGTTGGTTGATTGGACAGACAGAGCTTGACAGCGTCGGTTGGGTTATTCTGCGTCCCTGTACTTATCCCTCTGACAGTTTTCTTTCTTCGCTTTCTTGTACCGCAAAAGGTCATGATGACATTGGGCGCTGGCCTTGGCGGCGGTATTGGATTCACTGGCTGTAACACGTTCGAGTTAGGGAGGCTTTCATTTTCGGGTGGCGTCTAGCTAGCAGATTGCAAACAGCAACATCAAACGTCTGACAGCGTACACACGGGGTATCACTCAACAATCCCGACTACTACTGTCACTCAGTCGTCCACTTTGCAGCTTGTTCTGAACCGAGCAACAAATGATACCCAAAGAGCGTAATCAACGCTAACTAGATGTAAACAAGAGACCAAATCAATTCCGTTCTACTAAAGGCTCTCAAAGCCATCCTACTAGCAGCAACTGCACAGAAAAGATGCAAAGCACAGCAGTTTGGCAGGCATTTTTCTTCTTCTTCTCAAGTTCGGACTGCTGGCATCTCCTTGTCTCGACAACAATCTGTCCGAATTGCTTTACACCCACTATCCTGGAGGATTCTATCGTCGTCATCGCAATGCCATCCCAGGATTAGCATTGGTCCTACGGACCTTTTGCTATTTCTCTATCTCAACCAAGATTGGATGATGCCTTCAATTTACACATGCACATGGATGGCCGAGGGGTGATGAAGAGACGGTAGGCAATATAGGCTGCTTGTTGGCACATCAAGTCCAACTCATCATGGTTGCTCTTGTCCCTCTTTTTTTGGAGTTGTTGCTCTCCATACTTCTTGGCCACGGCTTCCAATCCTGCAATGCAGCATTTCTGCCATTCTCGACGATCACTACTGGCTTCCTGGTGTTCCCACGAAATGAGTTCTTGCAATATATTGTCAGCACTCAGAATGTTGTATCGGATTGATTGTTTGTCTTCTTCACACAAATCATCTGATCCATGGCCGAATGACACACAGCAAAGGTCAAACCCATCACGGCAATCCCCGCCCCCCATAGCCAGCGTCCCAATGCGGTCAAGAGAATCCCCACCAACAAAAAATTGGCAAAGGGAAACGAAATACTGCCATCTTCATTCACCAGCAAAAGAGGGAGCTCTTCTTCCACCCTGTTGCCAGTTTTCCGTCGTCGGGACATTGCGATGGAGTTGGAAAGATTTCCTTTTAGAGGCACTGATAGAGAAGGGGGGAAATTGAAGAGGGAGGAAGCGAGCAGCAAGCAACCAGAGCGAGAGTAAGGAATGAGGGGAAAAAGCCATTCCAAGGTTACGGTTGCCACCTTGGAGGGCCCCCAGAACAACTTCAGGCATGACAGTTCATGGTGCGCCAGCTAGTTTAGTTTGTACGGTGGGACGGGAAGGGAGACAGCCGATTGGCATCAGTGTCTCATCAGCTCTACCAACGGACAGCCGAGCAGCAAACCTCGTCGGGATACATCAACCTGAGTTGGATCCAATGAAAGTATCCATCACTGGAATGCAAGATCCTGATTTGAATTCTCGCAGCTTACCTCTCTCGCCGACACGGAACATGGAGACATGGAGGGGTCGTAGCGTGCGTACCTGCTTCCATTCTTGGGTGACATCTGCCCGTTCGGCTTCTCACTTGTTTTCTTTGGTGATGAGAAAGATTGCCTGGGTGGAGTGGAGTGGGCGGGGTGCAATACACTTTTGGTTGCGGAAGGGCTATTTGAACCTGCGTTCCTTCCAATTGCACCCAAAGAATCTCCGAGATTCAGCAGATTTGTGGCCTTCCGGTACCACCAAAGAATGAAGATGCACCCGAGATTCGTTGGATCTTGATTGATTCACATCAAATGCAGGAAGTTTGCAAGCTTTTCCAGCGAATAAAATGATCATTCCAGTTGGATCTTCCTGTTTCGGAGGTGATTATCAAAGTCACTCTCCTGTCGCCTTCTACCTCCGTTGCAAAGAATAGCACAACATTGACCGTTATTATTATTACAAGATTACAAGGCGGTAAATTGCACTTTTCTGCATCCTCTAATGAAACGTGATGGACATGACAAGGACAGTTTATCAAGATCTAGTAATATCAGCTTTTGTTTTTTCGAGATCATTGTAACAGCCCTTAATTCTTTTAGCGAATCTTGGCCAGTGAAAGTGCGAGTGTGACACAAAGTTAAAGATATCGTGAATTGGTCGTGTGAATTGTAATGTGTGAAATTGACTTAAAAACAATGCTTTGACCTTGTCTATTGAGAAGATTCGTGATCTCGCGACCGAATCTCGGTAAGATGACGAATTCCTTTCTCGCCCTGAGATCCAACTGTTGCTGGTGGACACCTTTCCCAAATTACAGGGATGTACGTAGTAGAGAAAGAACGCAGTCAGTCAATTCTTTCGCAGCGAGGGAGCGCTCCTGGAAAGCAGCAAACGCAAATTCTGAGCCTCACACAAATTTGGATCGATCGAGCAATTGAAATCCAATTCTTCAAAGTTTGACACTGAAACTTGACTTTTGTGGGAACTTTATCCAAAATCCAAAGATGGTGAGTAGTGTTGGCTGCAGAGCGAAATGTAGGAAGCTTGTTCTTTCTTATCTCACTGACTATTCCTCTTTTTAAATTAACTATGACGGTGGCAGGCTGATAATAACACTCCAATCACTGAACCTTTGAAGAAGGAAGAAGAAAACAAGGGCTCTGTCCACTATGGAGATGCCGACTTCGACGCCGAAGTTGTCATGGATGCTACCTGGGGAGAAGTTTGTCAAATTTGCTGTGTCCACACTGGAGAGGAGTGGCTCAAGATTGGCCTTGGGGTCGGCTTGATCTGTTTCTTCCTCTACTTCTTCCTCTTTGGACTTGAGCTCCTGGGAAACTCTGCCAAGGTTATGGGAGGATGCCGAGCTGGAGAGCTTTTCGGTGATGAGACCAACCCCATTGCTGGATTGATGGTTGGTATCTTGGCCACTGTCTTGCTCCAGTCTTCGTCTACCACCACCTCCATTGTCGTCTCGCTCATTGGATCCGCCATCAGTGTCCAACAAGGAATCTACATGATCATGGGTGCCAACATTGGAACTTCCGTCACAAACACCATTGTCGCCATGGGACAAATGGGAGATGGAGATCAGCTCGAACGTGCCTTTGCTGGTGCCACAGTCCACGATCTCTTCAACTTCTTGTCTGTCATTATCCTTCTCCCCGTCGAGGTTGTCACTGGATACCTCAACCACTTGACTGCTGCCATGGTCAAGGGAGCCGAGACAGAGAAGGGAGACAAGTGGGAAGGACCTGTCAAGAAGCTCGTATCCCCCCTTGGAAAGAAGGTTATCATTGCTAACAAGAAGCTCATCAAAGACGTCGCCAATGGAGTCCAGGACTGCAAAGACTACTACCCACTCAAGTGCGAGGACGGTGTTGTCTCCTACAAGACTTGTGATACTGGTTTGATCTCCTGTGACAAGAAGACCAACGACTGTCCCGCCTTTTTCGATGTCGACGCCTCCCAAAGTGATGACCAAGTCGCTGGAGGTGTTTGCTTCTTCATTTCCATCGTTATCCTGTTCGTCTGCCTCATTGGTCTGGTTGCTATCCTGCAAAAGATGCTTTTGGGAGTCTCCACTCGTATCATCTACAAGGCCACCAACGTCAACGGATACCTCGGAATCCTTATTGGAGCTGGAATCACCATCATTGTCCAGTCTTCTTCCATTACGACTTCCGCTCTCACGCCTCTGGTCGGAGTTGGTGTCCTTCGTCTTGAACAGATGCTTCCCTTGACACTTGGTGCCAACATTGGTACCACCATGACTGCTCTGATGGCCGCCATGGTTACAGAGGGAACTGGAGCTCTTCAAGTCGCCTTGGCTCACTTGTTCTTCAACATTACGGGTATTATCATGTACGTGACTTGACTTGCTCAGCCATTCTATCAATACATACTGTTGACCCTGCTGATCTCATGCTCACTCACTTACTTACTTCCCTTTTGGTTGCAGCTGGTACCCTATTCCATTCATGCGCCGCGTTCCTCTTGCTGGGGCTCGAGCGCTCGGAAGGGGCACTCGTTTGTGGCGTGGATTCCCCGTCCTATACATCTTCGTTGTCTTTGTGGTCATCCCTGCTATCTTCTTGGGTCTTTCTGCCTTGTACGAACAAGGCACCAAGGGTTGGACCACCCTTGGAGTTTTCTTCACCCTCGTGCTCATTGGAAGTCTTCTCTACCTCGGATTCTGGTGCAAGTTCAGGGAAGGACGAAGGCGAATGGGTGACTGCTTCCGTCTTCGTGAACGCAGACGCGAGACTATGGATACTCTTCCGGATGATATGGAATTCTTGAAGGCCCGCGTCAGTGCTCTTATTGACCACACTGGCATGCCGGATGAAGAAGCCGAGGTGCCAGTCGTCACGGACGATGAATCTCCCATGGAGAAGATGGACAGTGCCAGATTCAGCTCAAGCGATGATATTGACAACGAGATCCAGACTTAAGTGTCTGTTGATCTCTCTCTGACAGGGTGGTCTTCGCCCCCACTAAATGTTGCGTATAGCGTACGAATAGTTTCTCTCTTCCGATTTCAATGCATATTTTAGTATCACCAATTTTAAGGACAAGTTTACTACCTTTAGGAAGGCTTCAAAAAATTATCTGAATCAATCTAGCTACTAGAGCTTGATGGTTGACAGCTGGCCATAGCGAGCTTGCCGCTTTGACTGTCAATACTACTTCCACCGCTTGAGTGGCGCCATGTTAGTCCGTTTGCGATAACTTCTACTAGCTAGCTAGCTAGCTAGCCAAGAGATGTTTGTGTCTCTGTGAGTACGAAACGGCTTGTCACTTCGTCAACTAAATTCAAAGTCAGTTGAACGTGTTATTAGTAGGTAGGTAGCTAGGTTACAGTGCTGTGTTGGTGTTGTTGTTTCTTTGAAAGATATAAACCCAAATGCCATCGGGATGTTCATCCACAAGTTTGTGTGAGAATCCGGCTGCTTGTGCGTATTCCAGGACGAATTCAATGGACACGGGGACTTCTCGTTTGGCGTATGCCATGACAAAGACTGCTGGTGGATTGTTGTCTTGACGACGACTCAACAGCAAGTCGACAGTCTCCCACAGAGGTTCCACGATGCATCTTGCATAAATAATGTCTGAAGCAATCAAGACATCGAATGGTTGTTGTTGCTGTTGTTTGGACCGAAGAAATCTCTCCGTAGTGTCCTTTCCCCAAATCAATTGATGAGCCGAGACGGTATTATTGTTTGTTGGTAATGTGTTTATTGTTGTTGCAGTTTTGTTTGTATTGACATTTTCCCTGAGATGTAGCAACGCATCCGAGTCTCCATCCGTGATGCAAACCTTCCTTGCCCCCAGCTTGTGGGCCAAAATGCCACACAGTCCCAAACCAGCACCCAACTTTTTTGAAACGCGCAAGATGAGACAAACATAGTATTAAAAAAGGTGAAGTATGCAATTCTGTGAGAAAATCAGATAAAGTTTTGCTCCAGCAAACAAAAAGAGATTGTGCAGCACCCAACCATTCAATTCGATTCAATCCATCAAGCAGAGCAAATTTTGACCAAAAAAATCAACTCAATGACTCCAACTCACCTCCAGAACGCTCTTTCCTTGGAAAATGTCAGGATTTTTGGCCATGTATTGGCATAGGTGCTCTGCAGCTCGCCACAGTGTCAGACCAGTCGATTTCCAAACTTGATCAGCACCCGTCTTGTAACCACGAATTTCAATGTCGACAGTTCTGGATGCTTCCTTGATTGTTTCTTCGTTTTCTTGGTGTTGGTCTTTTCGATGATCATCATCATCCCCACCACTTTTGGTACACGTCGTTGTTATTTTGGAAGTGTCCACCTGAAACGAAAATTGAAATGATTGAAATGGATCTGGGTCTTTGAATGGGTCGATAAAGGCACTTTCTTCTTCTTCCTCGTCGTCGTCTGCTTGATTGGTAGTAGCTTGTTGTTTCTCGTGCTCCTCTTGAAACTCTTCATGCCATCGTACTCGATCGTCCGTCCAAGGAGTATCTTGCTCCTCCTCCACTTTGTCGTTGCTTGCGTTCTCCGTCATTGTCAGTGGGCTGAAGGATGCTGGTGGGTGTGATGGGGATGGGTGGTGATGGGGTGGGTGGTGATGTGATGGGTGTGAGGTGTGGTAAAGTGGACGTCCGTGGATTTTCTCTTTGGGTTTAGTGGCGCGCAAAACATGACGCCGGCCATGCCATCGAAGAATCGAAGAGAACCAAATCGAAAAATCGGGTCGACCGAAACAATGACGGGATTCCAAAGCTCCACCAAAAAAAGAAGAGCACGCCCCGATCCTCCATCATCATTTGTCTTTTTTGTTTGTATCAAAACCAATCGAGTTGCCCAGTTTTTAAAGCATTGTAGTGTACTACTGTACCACCACCATGATGACGACGATGCGCTCCAAATCGAGCACTCTCATGCTCTTCTTCTTCTTCTTCTGTGCCATCTTGCCTTGTGTCGCGGCCAATCCCCTCCAATCTCTGTTGGATGTCTGGACCAACATGACGACCGTCGAACGAACCGTCTTTTGCATCCTTGCCTTTTTCATCTTTGCCGGATTCACGGGTCTGGATGGAGGAAAACCCGTCAAGGCAGCAAGGGTCAAACTAGAAGATGCTTCGTCCAAAGACAATCCACGCGTCTTTTTTGATATTACCATTGATGGCGCCAAAACGGGAACCATCACCATGGAACTATTTGCCAATATTGTCCCCAAAACGGCAGACAATTTCAAGTGTCTCTGCACTGGAGAGAAAGGAATGGGCAAAGCAGGAAAACCACTCCATTACAAGGGAAGCGTCTTTCATAGAGTCATTCCGTCTTTCATGTGTCAGGGTAAGTCTACTACAACAACCAAATCAACCAGAATTCCATTGGCAGTGATCTCATCTAAACCTCTTCCATTCTATTCTATTCTACTCAACTGAACATCATTACAATATATATGGACATGAACAACAATCTACTCTTTATTACTTTTATCAACTACTATATATAGGTGGCGACTTTACCCGCGGCAATGGAACCGGTGGAGAATCCATTTATGGAGATCGCTTTGCGGATGAATGGGTAAATGGATTCATTCCACACTCCGAACCAGGATTGCTTTCCAGTGCCAATTGTGGAAAGGATACCAATGGATCACAGTTCTTCTTGACCACCGCAAAGACTCCCTGGTTGAACCTCAAACATGTCGTCTTTGGGAGAGTCGAAGATGGAATGGACGTGGTACAGAAAATTGAAGCGGTGGGATCCGGCAGTGGAACTACTTCGGCCAAGGTCGTCATTGCCGATTGTGGACTCGTCAAGAACAAGAGTACGTAAACACAAAACACCAATTAAATACTCTGGAGAAACATTTCTATATGTGGAGCCACGGGAGAAATGACAGAATGGCATTGTATGAGAGTTGTTGACAATCTATTCACACATGATGGTATCCCTGCTCTGTCTGTACTCTTGTAGTAGGTGGTTTCACTCTCTCTACAAACAGCAATAAAAAAGAGTAGTTCTGCTTTTCTTTGCCCCAGTCCATACCTAGCTAGGCATTAGCTAGTGGTAGAAAAAGTACAAAACTCCATCTTATGCATGCATTCTTACATGGATCATACGGTACACATACACTAATGTACACTATACTTTCGGCATCATCAGACCCCAGCTTTGACTTCAATATTGCCAACGCTGTCTTCCAAAAAACTCTCGTGAGCTTGGGTGGGAGACGAAATGGGCTTACTGACAAAACCACGGTGGCACAGATAAGTCTTTTTTTGTTGAAACCACGTCAAGGTGCGGTTGGCGGCCCCTCGAATCTCCCGTGATTTGCTTTGCTTTCGTTTCAGTGTAGACAAACCCTTGGACAAGCTACGCTGTTTCAACTCTTCCTCCGACAGTTCCGTCATCCATTGGCTCTGCAAGGCTTCGGAGGCTGTCAAACGGTCCGCCGGATCGACTTGCAGCAATCCCTGGATCAATTCCTTGGCTTGAGGACTGATCGAGCGCCAATCGATGGGGTCGAATCGCCATGCACCCTCCTTGATTTGCTGACAGATCATTTCGCGCGGTTCGTCGTGACCGCCAAACGGAGGATATCCCACCAAAAGACAAAACCCCGTAATACCGACACTCCAAAGATCCACTCGCTCGTCGTGGGGAATGTTTTTCAATATTTCTGGGGCGACATAAGGAGGTGCTGCAACAGTTTCAATTAATGAAGCAAAGGAACGAGTCAGACGAAAAGGAAAAGAGGAAATATTTCTGAGACGAGAATCGTTGCACTCACTCCCTACTCGGTGAGTCAACGACTGAGGAGTGTGGACTCGACGGGCGAAGCCAAAGTCGCTAAGTTTAATGTTGGAGTCGCTATCGTTCGACTGATGGGCGATGTGCATTGTTGAAAAATGTATGGTGAGACTACTACAGCAAAGGTTCCGGCAAGATCAGGACACTACAAAAAGGCACGTGTTGCGCGAGTTCGTACCTGCAGTAGAAGACTGGCGGGCGATGTGCATTGTTGAAAAATGTATGGTGAGACTACTACAGCAAACGTTCCGGCAAGATCAGGACACTACAAAAAGGCATGTGTTGCGCGAGTTCGTACTTGTGGGGTTTGATGTCCCTGTGGGCAATGCCCTTGCTGTGCAGTGTCTGAACTGCCTGCAGTAGTCGCCTCACAAGCTCCCGTGCGTCGAGTTCCGTGTAGTGTGACCGCATAAGGATGCGATCAAAAACATCCCCTCTCGTCAACAGCTCCATGACAATGTAGAAGGCATCCTCTTCTTCGTAGAAGTCAACCAGTTTGACAATAGAATCGGAAGCATCAGCTGAAACGGACTGTAGAAGCGACACCTCGTTCAACACCTGCTCGTCGTGGTCTGTCGACAATGCCGATCGGGGAATAATCTTGACGGCATATACTTCCAGAGTGTTGTTGTGTTGACACTCCCAGACAGTAGCATAGTCACCTTTTCGAACCTTTTTGAAGAGCGTATAGTTGTCCTGGAACGTTTTCGTTGATGCCGTCGAAGGCGACGATGTGGCAGAGGATCCGCTTGTATTCTCTTCCGTTGGCTGACCAAAGGTTGCAGCAGGCTTCCAGCATCGTGCCGCGGCAGCCCATCGGACGGCGTCCATTGCCGCCTTGAGCTTGCGCCTCGATCGGATCCTACTCAAAGCTTCGCTAAGATCGTTTTCACCTAGAGTAAAGGATGTGGGTGTCGTGGCTTTCATCCATGTCGAATCCAATGCTTCTTGCGCTGTCCACCTTCGATCTGGATTCACCGTCAGCAAGTGCGCAATCAGCTGCTTTGCGGGAACACTTACGTTTCCCCAGCTCTTTTCATGGAATGTAAAGTTCCCGGCGCGGATACGACGAAACAAGTCACGGTGACTGCTGCCATGGAACGGAGGGTATCCTGACAAGAGCATGTAGATAATGCAACCACAGCTCCACATGTCGATTTGACAGTTGTATGGTTTCTGCAACACAATCTCTGAAAGTCGGTGTCAAGTAAGTTAGAAAGCATGTTGATGAGCACTGTCATTGGTCGTCATGGGTTACTGGATGACAACCTATCTTTCCAGCAAGAACCAGTTAATTGAAGCCTACGTACCTGGTGCAACATACATGGGTGTCCCCAACCGCGTGCGACAATATCCATCCCCATCTGTGGGCAAATGCCTTGCAAAACCAAAGTCTGCTAGCAAGATATCGCAATCATTGCTTCCACTGGCCAATAAAAGATTGCCTGGTTGGTGTCAAATTAGAAAGCACGCTAATGAGCACTACCGGTATCATTGGTCGTCATGGGCCACTGCGTGTCAACGTATCTTTACTAGTACAAGAACCAGTGAGTTGAACCTGCGTACCTGGTTTTAAATCCCGATGAACAATCTTTCGCCCATGTACCACTTTCAAGGTCTGCAGCAGGACCTTGACCAGATCACGGGCAAACTCTTCTGTATAGTGTTGACGCCGGATTAATCTGTCAAACAGATCCCCACCTTCGGCCAGGTCCTGGACCACGTAGAGAGTGGATGGTTCCACAAAGAAATCCACCAGCGTAATCACACTGGGGACATCCACCAATTCTTTCAAGAGCCGGACTTCCCGAAAGACGGCGAGATCATCCGATTCTTTGAGTTTGGTGCGATCAATCACCTTGACGGCAAACTTGCTTTTCTTGTTGTTATCACCACCTTCCTCCTTGTTCCCCACACGTGAAGCCTGATAGACGGTACCATAGGAACCACTTTGCAGCTTTTGTTCGGTTTGATAGCAATCCTGAAAAGATTTTGGATTGATGACATCGGCATCTTTGGAAGACTCTTTTGGACTTGATGGTGGCTGTTTTGCAGGTTGCTGTGTTAGAAGTTGCTGCTTTTCAGGATTCTTGGTACTGGTAGCTTCGGGTGCAATTGCCGTTCGGCTAAACAAAGCTCCGGTTGGATCTGCAAGGTAGTGTGGAGAGTCCATTTCCCCGTCATAAGTCGTCATGGTATCTCTTTGGGAGGCTTTTGCTTTGGCAACGAAAGTGGCGAACAGCAGAGAGGTGAAGGCAGAGTGACAGTCAAGATTTCTGCTAAAGTGAAAGATTCCAACGGCCCGCGTTTCTCCGGAAGCCTTTGAGGTGCTCCTCGAGGCTCACGCAAAAGTGTGAGTGGAGCCAATTCAGCGAAGGAAAGGAACATACCGGAAGCATATGCCGTACTCTATTTCGTTGTGGAGAACCTCATATGCATAAGTCTACGGTACTGAGGTTGTTCAAGGCATTGCAAATGTCTATGAGATGCATAGTGCTCATACAATAAAGACACTAGTAATACGATGTACAGTAAGGGAAATGCTTAGTTCCGGGAAAGGCACCGTGTGTGGTGTGGTGCGGTGCTGGTGTCATTGTTTGGTTGCAAAGGTGGCAATAATATTGTTGCGTGTATAATAATTAACGTATCCACTTGACTGGTGCTGGCTAGTTGGCAATCTAGTTATAAGTCTTACTAGCTAGCTAGGGGGAACTCGCTGTAATATCTAAACTAGCTAGAGATCTTCTTTAAAATTATCCACATTATTTTGCAGAGTGTTTGGTTGCCAATTGCAGAGACAAAAAGAGCACAAAAAAGAGCACTCGAAATCCTCGCGTTAGAAGTCTCGCTGAGAGACTACATTCCTTCCTTATCAAGTGATAGTCTCACAAGGCACCAGCCTCGGTACCTACCTACCCAAAATGTCCTCTGAAGAAGCGAAAGGCAAGGAAAATGCTGGCGCCACGACGGCTCCAAAAGTAACAAACCCCAAGGACAGTAGTAGTTGTACTCGCGAAGAATTGACCGAGCTGGTCCGTGCCATCAAGTTTGCCAAGCCCGATGCCAGCATGAGAGCGGTCCACCGCGAGATTTCGCAAGAGTTGTCCAAAAAGGCAGGGTTTGAATTTTTGTCTCAGATTGGTTTGAATGACGTCAAAAAGATTTGGAAAAAAGCCGTCACGGCGGCCAACAAGCAAACTTCGTCCGATGTCCTCAAGCTGTACACGGTCGGGGATGCCAGTGTGCGATTGTTGGCTCAAGAGTACTCACAGACAGCAGCCGCCTCGGAGGCTGCCAAAACCAACGAAGATGGAAAACTAATGTTGGAAAATTTTGTGCACTTGTTTGATGGAGTCCCCATGGATCGATCCGGTTCGAGGCCTCATCAGGCTCTCATCAATTTCAACGACAATAATCAAAAGAAGCAGAGCGAGGAAAAGAACAGCAGTGGAGACGAAAAGAAAGATGACAACAACAATGGAAGTTCCAAAGACGAAAGAGGGATCATTGTGAAAGTGCAAGTGGCTGCCTCGGACGATGAGTCGGTACTGTATCCAATGCTCCTTTACAGTCAAGACCGATCCCTGAAAACATTCATCCATCCGGACCCAGAAGATGATGGATATCAGAAAATTCGAAAATGGATCATGGAGGATGGTAAGGGTGGATCTTTGGGCCATACGGGTGGTAATAAGGCGTACTTTTATGCTCGTTTGACCAAACGAAAAAAGGGTGCTGGTTCGATCATTTCCGTTGATGTGACGGGGCTGGCACCAGAGCAGACTTGGTGAGAAAATTTTATAAAGGCAGCAAAGTGACGATGGAACCATAGGAATCGAATCCCCCTGACTGTCAGGATGAGATTAATAAGCGGAATCTGAGTGTCAGTTGGCTGGTGGAGCATGCTCTCGGTTGGTTGACTGGCCATTTTCCAACCGCCTAAATCTGCAACACCAATAAACGTTTTCCCATCGTATACTTCCTATCTAGGTCGCTATTCCCGCTGTAGCTATCGCCTTCTGCTGCTTCAATAAGACCGACGAGACATTAGCCTGCCTTCCCTGAAACTCGCTTCGTTGAAATGCACTGGCTAAATCGAAGCAAGCCTCAGCAGCAATAATGAAGGTATGGTTTTGTGATTTGCCCTTTCTGACATAATCTATAGTAGCTAGCTTACGGATAGTCGGGCCCGTCGTTTGCACTTGGACAAGGTGGTATCGTATGTTTCTCTGGGCTGCGATGAGAGCACACAGACAGCGTGGAAAACAGCTATGGGACTTTGGGAGTCCTACAATGAAAGGCAAACCTTTAGTTTCCGAGCCACAGTAGGGGTAGCAGTAGTAGTACTAGTAGTAGTCTTCGTGTCCTAACACAAGCTTACTGTATAGCACTACACCACGCTACTTCTTTCCCCAAAGCGGAAGCTTCACACCCATGGCAGATAGACGTCGAGGTGTCCTCTTTGCTCCCTTGTTCTCTCCATCAGCCAGGTCTTGGTGGCTACAAGTGGGAGTTTCATCTACTGTGTTGACCTGCGATTCTTGTGGTTGTGGTTTCGGGGAGATGAGTGTAACATTGTGCCTGCCGCTTGGGTCGAACTGCAACACAGCCGAGACATCATCTCTAGACGCCGCGTCGACTTCGGGAGATTTTGTCTTGACCATCATGGCGGCAAGAGCTCTATCCAGGTCTTGGTCATCTTGATTGTCGTGGTCACATTTCGAATCTTGTCGGCGTGCCCTGGTCTTGCGGGTCAAGTTGCGGTCTGAACGGGATTTACGCAAGTTGCGGTCGCTCTTGGACATGTTCAGGTTCCGTTCACTCTTTTGTCGCGAGCGACGCTGGCTGGCTCTGCGGTCCCTGAGACTTTGCTGCATACCATCTTCTTGGTCGCCTCCGTCACGGTCTCGTCGTGTTCTTCGCTTGTTTTCGTCGTCGTCCCGATGATCACTGGCGGGACGAAGCGCCGAGAACGACTTGGACATTCTGGTAATATCCGCCTGACTGCTGCGAGCACCTGTTCGACGAGCACGAGAACGGGATCGAGAGGATGCCTTGCGAATATTGCGGCTGCTTTCGCTTTTTCGTGTCCGACTGCGAGATCGTGGTCTCCGCTGACCACCCTCGGATTGTTCCTTGTTGCGGATATTAATATCTCGGCGGCTCCCATCTGCCAGCTCCTTGCGTGGCTCTCTACTCTGAGATCGCGCCCGCTCCTTGCGTGGCTCTTTACTCTGAGATCGTGCCCGCTTTGGCTGACCATCTGATTTTTCTTTATTACTACGACGGCCTCCTTCATTGGATCGGCTTCGTGATCGTGCTCGTCGTTGGTGGTGGACAGCACTGGTACTCTCAGACATGAGTTCCTTGCTGCGTGCGTCTCGGCGCCCTCCCTCGGTGGCGCTATCCTTGCGGGAACTCTCTCTTCGCTTATCTTCCTTACGAAGAAGAGAATTGGAAGACGACAAGTCGCGTTTTGACTTGTCTTTGGATACTGCCATGGAAGACGTTCGTTTGGGTTTGATGGGGGCTCCTGTCGCGTCACTGTCGTCCAGTTTGGAGCGTACCGCGGTGGAGGACGTTCGTTTGGGTTTGGTGGGTGCGTCGCTTTCGTCCAGTTTGGAGCGTACTGCGGTGGAAGACGTTCGCTTGGGTTTGGTGGGGGCACCTGCCGCTTCGCTGTCGTCCAGTTTGGAACGATCCGAATTGGATTTTTCTAACCGTCTCTGAGACGAATTTCGTCCTTGTCCTCCCCGTTTGTGAAGTCTCCGTGCCGACTGTGCCCGCGAGGAGGATGTCATGAGGCGTCTGCCACTACTAGAGCGTGTGAGTTTGCTGTGTGATGGGCTTGCACTCCCACTGACATCTGGCTGCAGCTTGCTGCTGCTGCTGCTACTAACCGTGCCATCGTGAGATGATTTGCGCACATAGGCAGCTCCATCATTATTTTTGCGCACAGAGGAAGTCCGGCGTGCTGCGGATTTGCGCGGATGCGAGTTGTTGTTATCGAGAGTCTGTGACGCCGACAGTGAGGTCCGGTTTCTCCGCGTCTGTTGATGCGAGGAACTCTGATCCAAGGATAAGCCTCTGAGCGACATTGTCTTTCCTTCGTCGTACAAGGAATGCAGGATACTGCGTGTGGGATTTCCCGACACCACATGACTCGACTGGGTGGAGAGGGAAGTAGTGGTGTTGGTGGAAGTTGTGGAACCAATCGTGGAGGTTCGTTTGAGGATGCTTTTGGGTTTGTTGTTGTTGTGTGACGTTCCTGAAACACTTAGCGGTGTCTGAGGAGGTTCCTCGGAGACGACAACCCTGGCAGATCTTGGTCGTCGTTCTGGTTTTGGGGACTGAGGTTTTGGGGACTGAGGTTCTTCACCCTTGAACAAGTCTTTCTCGCTTTCGTCAATGCTGTCATCATCCGCCATGCTAGCTTCATCCGCCATGCTAGCTTCATCCGCCATGCTAGCTTCGTCACTGGTCGCCGTCTCGTCTGGTGCATCCACATCTACATCAGCATCCCCTTCCAGCTGTTCAATCCTTCGTACATGACATTGTGTCCCCAGAGCCGTGAGAGACGTGGCCATTTTCGACATTTCAGCTCTGGATTGCCATCTTCTTTCGGAGGATGACATTATTTGCGAAGGGGAAGACAAGTGCGAGGTAGCCGAGGAGCTCATTGCTTTATCCACTTCCTCGTCGTCATCGTCGTCATTGTCGTCGTCGCCATGTTCCAAGTCTACGCGAATGCATGACAAACTCTTGTACATGCGAGCATATTTCTTGTTCTGTAAAAAGCCATTGTCGTCCTCCCCGTCTTCTTCCTGCTCGGCACTATCCTTTCGCTCTGGCCCCAGCAAGTCTCTGAGTGACTGACGAAGGTCCTTCTTGGGCGTCTCGGACACTGCAGGAATGTCGGTTAAGGAGCTGGAGGATCCAGATACCACTAGTCCACTTGATAAGCCAGAGTATTTGGCAGGAATGTGCTTTTCGTCGTCTCTGCCAGCAGCATGCGCCTGATCTTCCTTTCTCCGCTTTCGAATAGAGTCCAACACGGACAGTTTGGCCGTGGCGGCTAACTGCTTTCTTTGCAGTTCCTGCTCCAACTTTTCCCTCAGGGTAATCATGGTGGAGTTGGCAGTGGCCTGATCCCCCATCATCCCCAAAGCCAACAATCGTCGTTGCTCCACTTTGCTGCTCTTCTTTTCGCCACTACCGCTGCTACCAATGCTCGTCAACGAAGACGTCAACACCTGCTTGACAGGCGATACGCCATCAGAAGTCTCGTTCTTCTGATCGTGATTATTGTCATCACTACTACTCAGAGAACTCCGCATCTTGCCCATGAAGCCATCCACAGCGGTAGGGCTATCGGTGGCAGATGGGAATCCTGCCGTCTTCTTCAGGGTGCAACTGGAAGGACTGGTGGTAGTTGCTGCAGTGGTAGACTCGATGTCCGTCATGGCTGCTGTCATCTTGGGCAGCTACAGTATGAAAGGAATTGAGCGTTTCTTTATGAGTGGACTGGTACAACAAGTCACGCTTTTTCCGCTTCCTGCATGCCATCGTTTTGAGAAAAATGAACGTCAGCAAAATTGAAGATGCCTTCTTAAAGTGTCGCGGGAGTAGTACACCCCCAATGACTTATCAGAAACATATTTGAGACACAAGTGGATGAAAAGGTTTAATAATCCATGACTACAAAGTCACAGAGCTCAACTCAATTATCAATAAGCTGTTATTGTACAGAAGTTTTGTTAACGCATGTACCCATCTTTTGCTCCCGCATTCTTCATGTCTGGAATGAGATATAACAAGCTTCCTTTTAAGCCCGTGATATGACTGAATATGTGACTGTATTATTTATTGATCGATGACCAATCTGAAACCGCAGGGAAACCAAAGACTTACGGTTCGCAGCCAAACAACAGTGTCCGATGTCCGACCTTGCCACAAAGTACCAGTGTACGGTGAACGGTACATGTACCAGTGGCACCGTGACATGACATTGTACTGTACCGGTGAGCCTCCAAATCCTGGTCCTGGTGTTGGGAGTTGGGAGTTGCCAAACCAAAAAATAATGTACCGCGGGAGTTGAGTGACAGTCGTTTTCGCACCTTCACGCAACGCGAGAGGTGAAGGGGTGACTTACATGTAACATACGGTACCGCTGGTTCCCCTTCAATCCAATGCCGAGTATTACGATGCTACCGATGCTATGTTCTGGACAAACGGGAAAAGGGTACTATCCCAAGAGGACAACAGGATACTTTACAACTGCACAAGACACTACGCTAGCTATTGTTTGTCGAACTCGACCGTGTTGTTGTCTTTGTCAACAGTCACAACCTCCGCAATATTTCCGTCGGAAGAAGCCGAATTGTTGCCGAATTTCGCACCGATCTTACCCATGAAAAGAACCGTCTTGGCCACACTCCGCAATTTCTGGCGTTTGCTCATTAGGTTCGAGATGGATCCGTTCAAACTATTGTTGGATAAATCTTCGTCGTTGTCCTGCGTGAGCCAAGGACAACGCAACGCCTCGTCCACTGTCATTCTCTCCACCGGATCTATCACCAATAAAGCGCGGATCAAGTCCTTCGCGTCCTCGGATATATGCCTCCAATCGGGTCTGTGAAAGCGCCACTCTCCCCTCTTGATCTTCGAGAACAACTTTAATTGGTCGTCTTCCATGAATGGAGCATATCCCACGAGCAGCACCTGGTCAAACAACAATCAGTGTCAATCTCAATTAGCGCAAGAGATCTACTCTCTCGCCCACACACAAGAGAGATCATTTCGCGGCAAAACTGACGTACGTGCATTGTTACACCAACACTCCACATGTCTACTCGTTCGTCGTGTGGAATATTTTTCAGGACTTCAGGTGCCACATAGGTCGGAGCTATGGGAGTGCGAGACAAGACAAGACAAGACAAGACAAGATGAAGATTCAAAATGAGCGACATTGGCTGGGAAAGACATCTCTGGTGAAAAGGTGAAACTCACTGCCAACTCGATGTGTAATGGATTGAGGTGTGTGAACGCGACGAGCAAAGCCAAAGTCGCATAGCTTGATGTTGGCAGCAGCTTGCTTGGACTGTGGCAGTGATACATACATACGACAGGAGGTCGGTGGAGGTCGGTTAGCAAGTCTCATAGCACTGAGCTTTACACATGTACGCTGCTGTTTGGATACTTACTGGAAGCAAAAGGTTCTGAGGCTTGATGTCTCGATGAGCAATACCATTTTCATGCAAGCATTTGACCGCTGTCAGTAACGTCTTGACCAAATCGCGGGCATCCTTTTCGGTGTAACTGGTCCGTTCCACAATCTGATCAAACACATCTCCACCTGCCATCAGTTCCATGACCATGAAGAAGTAGTCCTTTTCTTCATAGAAATCGCACAACTGGGTCACATACTTGCCGTGTCGACTTAGCGACTGCATGATTGTCACTTCATTCAAGACAGCTTCATCGTCGTCTGCCGACAAACCTGCACGCTTGATGACTTTGGCAGCAAACTTTTCTTTGGTGACCTTGTGATGGCATTCCCAAACGGTTGCAAAGGATCCTTTTCTTATCTTGGTCACCAGTTCATATCGATCTCGGAAGGTAGCTTGTTGAATTTCTGCCAGCTTGCCAGATTGACGTCCTGCTGCAGCGCCGCCGCCACCAGCGCCACCAGCGCCACCTGGGGCAGCACTTCCCCCCGCTGGTACAGTCATGGATTGGCGTGATTTGTGTTGTGAAAACGAAATGTTACCTCCCACCCAAAAGTTTGCCGTTGCGACCCACCGAACGGCCCCCATGGCACTCTTTAGCTTTTCACGGGCCTTGAATTTCTTCATTTCTCTCAGCGCTCCCGTCAAGTCCGTGTTGCCGAGGGCCTCGTCGGGTAGTTTTTGGATCCAGCTACTTTCACAGGCTTGTTTTCCAGTCAATCGATTCTTGGCATTGACAGTGAGCAATCCGGCAATGAGCTGTTTGGCAGGCAGACTGACCTTTTTCCAATACTTGTCGTGAAAGGTGAAATCGGAAGCTCGAATCTTTCGAAACAAGTCGTTGTGGTCTTTTCCTTGAAAGGGTGGGTATCCACAGATGATCATATACAGCAAGCATCCAATGGACCACATGTCACAGCTTGCATTGTAAGGTGTCCCCAGAACGATTTCAGGTGCTACAAAGGCAGGTGCTGAACGGGAAAAGCGAGGAGACAAAGAGTGAGCATAACAAAAGGCGTGTGTCCAATCCAAGCAACATGAGGGTCGCTGTGTCAACACACACGAACGAGAGACGACTACTCACTCCCACATCTCGTCTTGAGGTATTGTCCCGATCCGCAATGCTTGGCAAATCCAAAATCTGCCACTAAAATGCTGGTGTCATTTAGCTCTTCTTGGAGCAAAAGGTTCTCTGGTTTCAAGTCACGATGCACAATGGTCTTTTTGTGTATCTCGTACATGGTCTTGATGAGTGTGACGGCCAGGTTGCGTGCGTCTCGTTCGCTGTACTTTTGTCGTGCCGTCAGTCTATCAAAGACGTCTCCTCCCCGGGCCAGCATTTGTACCATGTATAGTTTATCGGGTTCCACAAAGAAATCAATAATCTTGATGACATTGTCGATTTCATGGCACTCTCGTAGGACGGCTACTTCGGTGAAGACTGCCTTGTCATCTTTGGGTTTGAGCTTTTTGCGATCGATAATCTTGACGGCGTAGAGCTGATCTGGATGACTGACATGTTGACACTCGTAGACGGTGCCAAAGCTGCCGGACCGTAGCCTTTTTTCTAGGCGGTAAATGTTGTCAAAGGGTTCCACATTCAGCCCGTAGAGGGCTTCGAGAATCTGTGGAGCTTCCTCCAGAGTCGCATCGGATATTCGAAAGGCAGCTTCAATGCACTCCATGGTGGACGTCTCGGGAGCTACTTCCTCCGTGGACATCACCATGCTGTCGTCACCACCAGATACCATGGCTGTACCGGTAATTTCTCCTCACAAATCTTTTGCTCTGGAACTCTTTCACGCCCTGATCGTGTGCCGAATGGGCGTTGTCTGGATCCGAATCTTTACAAGTAGTGTCTCGGTAGCTTCTCTCTATACGGTAGCTATTGCTCTGGCTTCAGTACCAACACCTTTCTTATAGCTAGCTAGCGAGCCTTCAGAATCAGAGAGCAATCACGGAGATGTATGTGGAGCCAGATGCTCTTGGACGCCTTCATCGGTTCTCTTAATTTCCGTCGTTGAGACGAGAGAGAGAGAGATTGATCGAGACATTGGAGGAGGATCTGTGGCCAAAAAGTGCCAACACAGATGACCCCATCACCCTGAACCCTAAACTCTCATTTTTGTGTCACCTCCTCTCCCTCTTCTTTTCGGCAAACACAACCAACAACCACAACTGTACCCCACCGAACCACAAAGATGATGCTGTCTCCTCGTACGCGGCAGCTGCCATTGTCAAGGCAATGCATTCGATGTCTTGTTTCTGCTGGATGGGAAAGGAATTTGAAGGTAGAAAGTCGTCCAGTGCGCCGTTTTCTTTCGTCTTCTACTACTCCCAAGTCCGGACTGGTACCGGTACCATCGAAAGATCGACCCTCCTGGTCCGAAGAATGGAAAGCATTGGGTTTGGGTGCATCCCTCGTGGATTCACCAAAGTTCCCCCACAATTTGCTATTTGTTCAAGTTGGTTTTGGAGTCGATCAGCATGGAGCAGACGATGCTACCAAAGCAGCCGTTCGAGCCGTACGAAATGCCATTGAATTCAATAGCATTCCGGGCGTCATTGAGCATGTTCCGGGCGGACGAACCGAAATGCTCATTCATGTCAAATTGGGGATTCCTCCAATTAGTAGTAGTAGTGACAATAACGAATGCTTGCCCGTCGATACACTGCACGTGGCCAAAGTGTTTCCCTATGGCAAGATACTGCCCATTCAAATTGTTCCGGGTGGCTTGGACTTCGGCACCGGACGAGTGGTGGAGGAATTGGGGGATACCAATGACAAGGCCGTATGTGTCGTTGCTTGTGTTTCTATTGGCTATGGAGAACCCGATGATGAAAATGGTGCAACGTTGCACAAAACCTACAATACCAAAGATGGGTACTAGCTAATGCCTAGCTAGCCAACTTTGCTACTTTGCTACCCAAGAATCTAGCTAGAACCTTGTATCTTGTCCAAAAACAAAGTCCACTCTTGTAAGTTGCAAAAGGCAAACTCGCTTCTAGCTATTGCACCTGGCTGTACAGGTAGGCATCTGAAGGATGCAAAAAGAGAGCTGCTGTTGAGTTAGAGTTGTGGTTCAACCGCAACTCGTCCCAATTTAGCAGCCTCCAATTCTCCTGATGGCAATGATCCAAGCAAGAGGCCCCAGATTGGTGCAACATGTAGGTTGTCCTCATGAGGGAAAATCAGGAATCCTAGAGAAAAATACAACCAAAGGACATGTCTTTCCTTTTGTCGCCTGATCTGACCCTTTGCTGAAATCTGATAACAGCGAGAGACACCAAACGAGTAGATTATATTTCACCCCGGGGTGGGTCGGGCTACTGCGACATGCTGTCGATTGACTCGGCCTCCGAAAGCCTGTCACCAAGCACATCTTGGCCGGTGGCATAAGACCCCCGCTTCTCACCTTTGCTGATTGTAGAGCTGTCCGAAGATCTCCTACTGCTGGGTACACTGTCGCTGCTCTTGGTACGCCGCATTGATCTTCGGTTTCCCTCCCTGTGACGTTCCAGTCGGTCTGGTCGGTCGTTTGCTCCAACAGAAGAAGCAAGTTGATTGGCACGTCGGGAAGATCGAACTTCGTTTGGAGGTTTGCGTCGGGAGATACTTGGCCGGTTTGGGCGCATGTCTCTGGCAGTAATCACCAACGCTTTTTTGCGGTCCTCGAGTGGATCATCGTCCGAATCGTCGTCATCCATGTCATTTTGATCCTTTTCGTTTCCAGAGTCAATTTCGTCGTCCTCTTCAAGTACAGGAACGTCGTTCATCATAGGTACACCGGAGGGGAGTGCCTTGCCATGGTCAGATTTGCCACCTAGTCTGCTGATCTTTCCAAGAAGCCGCTTCTTGAGGCTTGGCGTGGGGGGTTCTACACCATTCTGTTGCTTTCCCACAATATCAGCTTTTTCGCTTGGAGGGTTCCTTGTTATCGTAACTTCTGCAAATCGAGGTGGTTCGTTGCCACCATCGTCGCCCATAGGAAGTTCAGACTTGAACAATTTGCCACCAACTTTTCCTCCCATCTTGAGCAATCGCTTCTTGATGCTGGGCGTCGCAAGAACGCCAGCGCTACTTGTGGTGGTGTGTGCATTCTCGTTTGAATCGAAATCAGCTGCAAAGAATTCCGCGTTGGAGGTGTCCCACAAGGAGTGGTCGGTTGTGCTCAACCCTGTGCCCAAAATCTTTTCGTGATCATCCGATTTCTTAGCCTGCAGCACATTTTTCCAGGACTTCGACGATGACCTCTTATCGGCATCATCCCCGAAATCTGTGTCGCTTTCACCGTGCAGAACCAATGATGCGCCCGCCTTGTCGTGCTTTGCTACATCAAGCTTTCCAGCGTCAAACACAGAGAGTGATGTGGATCGCTTCAGAACGGTTTTCTTAGGCACTGCCTTTTCCAAGGAAACATCTCTCGAAAAGTCTCTCCGCTCTGCAGGCGGAACAGAGGTGGAATTCCGTGTACGTCGTCGTTCCTTTTCGCCTTTCCTTGATTTTCTTTCTTTCTTGTCTGGTTTTCTTTCCCTCTTGGCGTCTCCACCCACGACAGATTCCCTCGATCTCCTTTCTTTCCCGTCTCTCCCCCCTCTTGACGACGACCGCGTTCGATGCTCACGTTCTTTTTTCTTTCGTGAATCCCTACCACGCCCCCTGCTCGATCGTTTTTCGTCCTTTGATCTTGCTTCATCAACACTCTCACCGGACCGTGACTTGCCGCCATCTGTCTTATTTGTCGCGTCATCGGACTCCAGTCTTGGTCTTTGAGATATACTGTTGAGTGATCGTTTGCTTGCACTCTTGGCGCTCGCTGTCGATTTGGGACTGGCCGGGCATCGTGACGACCGGCTTCCACCAGAGGGCCTGCTTACGGGGCTGTGCTTTCTGCCTCTGCGCATTCTCATATTAAAACCTTCAGGTTGCTGCTTCTGCAGAACAAGCCGCCCTTTCCGAGAGCCACACATTCTGGGGGTTGCAAGAAGAGTCGTGAGGGGGGGGGCAAGTGCACGTGGGCTCAGAACCATTACCATGCGTATACTTACCCGCAGAAATTGAAAGAACTTTTGTTTTCATGTTCACACGAAGGACACAGCCAGTCTCGCCCTGTCCCACACATTCCACAGAAGAGGTGTTCACCAAGATTGTTGCTGTATTCACAACCCCAGCAGGTCCAGAATTCCATTTCTTCATCTGGTTGTGGCGTGATTGCAGTGTAAGGCGGTTCCCTTCGTGGCTCGGGAAGCGATGAAGAGCTACCAATGATCTCTGCTGCGGCATTGGCTTTTCCCGTTGACGGATTTTGATGGCGCGAGTTCTGTTTCGATGACGATGACGACTCTCTAGTAGGTTGTTGCCTCGTCGCATTTTCTTCATCCGATGACTGCTGGACAGTCGAGACTGTATCCAGTAGACTGGCGCTCCCAGCACCTGCACCGGTACCAAAGCTTCTGCTCGAACCCTGTCGGCTGGAACTACGTTTGCTACTAACGCTGTTGTGACCGGATGTTTCGGGGCGGGCCTTTGCAACATCTAGAATGGAGATTGAGGCTTCATGTTCGTCTGGTGGGGGGCCCAGTGCATCCCATGCCTTTTTCGTATTGATTGTCATTTCGGATGCATGGAATCCTTGCAAACTGTTTTCTCCATAAAAAATGGAAGACCCAGTCGATTGATCCCATGGCATATCGCCTAGACTGTGGGCGCGAGCGTTCGACAGGGACGGCGGCTGTGCTGCAAGAGCAACGTCCTCCTTGCTCGGGGTTCCATCCAAAGAGATTACCTTTGGTGGAAGACCTTTGCTACTGGTAGCTGTAGAGTGTCGTCTTGATGATGAAGCCTGCGCACTTTTGGTTCGTTTGGGAATACTTTTCGTGCCACTGCTTCCGAACATGGCTGCAGCATCTACATTGAGCCTTTTGCCTTTTGCATCTCTCCTTGGAGTCACAAATGCTGGCAATTGCGCAGCTCCCTGATTACCTCGCAAATCTGCTGTACTCAAAACTTTTTTGCCCTTGGACCGTGGGGTGGCTAGAGCCCCCACCAGAGGAGTCACTTTAGTATTGTTTTCTTCGTCTCCAATTTTTTTGGAGGATGTCAGTCGATGATTCCCAAGGTCGTCATGCGAAAGGGAGCGGGAGGGTTTTTGCTTATTGTTGGTCGTACCGTGGGCAGAAGCTATCTTTCGATTGACAGCAGCATGGGCTTTGGTTCCCGGCTGAAAGCCAAAAGGGGAATGGAGGGAGCTGGCTCCCTGATCTGCCGCCTTGAGAGCATGATTTTTCTGTCTAGACTTGGACAATTCACTTCTGCCTTTCAGGATTGATTTTCTCACTTCTGCCTTGTCCAGCAGCTTGGCTTCTGGGAGGTCAGCCGATGCCAGAAGCTGATTATCGGTACGAAAGCTGGCCGCAGAAAAACTACCAGAACTAGCGAATGCTTCACCCTGGAATTCTCCAGCTGGGGTATCTCCACCACTTAATCTGCTATTTTCATTCAGTCTGCTTCCAGCTCCATTTATAATTGGTTCCTCGTCTTGCCCGGCAACCATTGGGTGCTTGTTGTCACGAGCTGCATCACCGGACCCTGTGGGAATATTGGCATCATCGAACCCGTCGTCCAAGGAAGGGTCTGCCTCGTCTGACATGGTACCATTCAAAGCAAAGCCAGCACTGCTTTCTCAGCTTAGCGTTGATGGATAGTAAGAGCTGTTGTCATTCAGAATGGCAGAGTTAAAAGACATCTACATGTACAATAATAAGCTTCCAAGCAACAAATCAATAGACACATCAAGAGAAGCGAAGAGTTGATGCAGTGAAAGTTCTGTGCGGCTTCTTGGTCACACTGGGTGCTCGAGGGCTCTATTTCGGCCACGAGCCGCGCATGACTTTCTCAACAATCTCCATCAGGGTTTCTGTCCGAGGCCTAGATTTAACTCAAAGAAATTCATATGCCCCCTGGGTCGTCTCCGTTTCCAGTACTAGTTTAACTCGTCTACTAATACAGGATAATGGTGAATAGAATCGAATGAATCATGTGGCTTATATTTAGGGTTTAGGTTTTG